AATTCTAGGGTATCTATAATCTCATTAAAATAACAGTACTTTGATATTCTTGGAAGTGATGGTAAAGTCAATAAATAAGTTTTCATAGTTACGATATCTTTAATTATAATACTGGTATTATAAATTGTCAATGCTACTTAATTCCTAATTTTACGTATAAATGGTCCCGTTTTATTTAAGGATAATGATTAAGAATTTAAAAATTTTACAAATAAAAATTATTTTGAACCTAGATTTTCAAAATATTTATCCTAAATTAATAAATTTAAAGAAATATAATGGATTATAATATAGGAATCATCTGCTTCATTAGTAAATTTACTTAAATTTTTAATAATGCAATTTAAATTCGATAAATTTAAATCAATTAGGAAGCTCCACTAAATAGAGGAATGTTATTTCTAAACTACTAAATTTATTTTATAATTAAGAATTCTTAATTTAAAAAGTCGATGTTCTAATTTTTTTATATTTATACTTGCTATGATTCCATATGTATAAGACATGAAAACCTAACAAAGGGTCGCTATATAATTTTAAGTCCGTTATTATTCTTTAGGCCTTTATTCCAAAGAATTAATCTATATCATCTCCAGTAATCTAATTAGCCGAAAACTTTTAACTAATAACCTAACTATAAGTATAAGTAATCAAATATTTAGTTAATTATGTTTAGTTTTTGAAAATTAATTTTAATTAAGCCATAATTATTTTTGATAGCTCTTTTTAACTCTGATAAAACAATTGAATTACTGATTTTTGAGAAATTAAAATTAAAATAAATTTTTGTGATAAAATTTTAAGTAAAAATCTAATGAATATGTGACTGTATACCTAAACTTTCAAATAGCCAGTTAATAGCCATGTCAAAGCAATGGCCATGATGTAATAGAACTATAAATTATTGATTGAGAACATAAAATTATAGAAGGAATAAATAGGAATGACTTAGAAAGAGATAGTAATTCCCCTAAAAAAAATTTTGGAGATCTAATACTTAGTAGAAAACACAAGAATAAATGATCATAATAGGCTGTAAATTCTGAATACTATTGGAAGTAAAATATATGGTAAGAAGATTAATAGAAAGAATTTAATGAACTATTTGATAAAAAGATTAAGGAAAATAGTTTTTGTTATTGGAGTTGAAACAACAAGAAGGAATGAATAAAAATAGAATTAGAATTTAATTTTATTTTGGAGATGATATTTTTAATATATTGCAATTACTCTTGCTTCCTTTGCTATAATCTAATCAAAATAATTAGAAAAAACCTAATTATTCATTGGAATGCTTTAAATTTAATTTTTTTCTATATTTATAGACAACAATCCTCTTTTACTTTATATCAATGAATTATTCAATTTTTCATTCCTGGTTCTA